AAAACTACTAAAAGTGCAATAAGTCGTTCACTATATACACCAGATGCATTCAAATTTACCTCCGAAGAAACATGAAAGGGCTTTATGGGAGTCGGTGTGAAAATTGGATGATGGGCGGGGCACCGCCGATTTTTTGGTGCAATCCCACATTTCGTGACCCGATCGTTTGTTTGCACTAACCGTGCCCGACGCTGCTTAACTTCGTTGATCGGACGAGAACCGATGTATTCAGGTATGCAGATGACTGCAAGGATGATTTCTACGAAAACATCGTAGCAGGAACTGCTTGGAGGGGAGTTTATTATGCTCCTTAACTGAGAGCATAAGCGTCTCACTATGTAGGTGTTCAATGGGAGACATCCCGTCGTGGAGTGCTGTATTCTGGCAGGTCTGGAGTTTCCTCATCTGCGTGTCACTGCATCCAGGCGACCATATGGATGCTGCATAGTTAAGAACCAGCCGGCCGATTGCCTTGTAAGTTGCCAACAACATTTCTTTGTCTTTTCCCCATGTGCTGCCGGCTAGCGACTTGAGGTTTTTGTTGCGGCTCTGTACTTTGGCGATAATCGCGGTCGTATAGGGAGAGAAGGAGCATAGACTGTCGAAGGTGACATCGAAAATCTTAGGGTTATTTACAGTTGGAATTTTGACGCCGTCGACTACAATATTAAGTTCCAGTCTATACTCCTTCGTCCAGTTCGTGAATATAGTCASTGTGGATTTGGTAGGGGAAGTTTCACGTTCCGTGCAGTGAGGAAACGAGAAAGGTCGGAGAGGTAGTTGTTTACCTTCGAACACATGCCATCGATTCCATTGCCCGACGTCAATATCGTACAGTCATCAGCGTACGAGGTTATGGAAACCCCCGCTGGGGGTTGCGGGAGTTTCGAGATGTAGAAGTTAAACAGTAGCGGGGAGAGGACACCACCCTGCGAAACCCCCTGTTTAATTCTTCACAGTTTAGATGTTGCACCTCGAAATAGTACGGATGACTGACGACCGTTCAGATAGTTCATGGTCCATGGTCTTGAGCCCTGGAGGAAGCGTGGTTTTCTCAATGTCCTGTAGTAGCGTTGTGTGGTTGACCGTGTCAAATGCGTTTGACGGGTCCAACGCTTGGAGGATCGTTCTCTCACAGGGTAGTTTCTGGTTGAAGCCATGAACTATCTGAGCGTTTATGACGCTAAGTGCTGTGATGGTACTGTGCACTTTTCGGAATCCATGCTAGTGGCTGGCAAGGCTCAGGTGATGAGTGAAGGTCGGGATTAACAAGGCCTCAAGTGTCTTCACTACTGGGGAGAGGAGAGTTATCGGTCGATAAGATTGCACAGTCGCAATATTGCGTAGGCAACATGGGGCCACGTAACGCGTGGTCCTCTCCCTATGAGTCTTAAGGCCTGAGCAGGTCTTAAGATGGCTCCATCCATTACATGTGTTGCACCTGACTGAGGTGGAGTTTGGATGAAGCCGTTTTGCGCATACACAGCAGAAAAATTCCTCCGGGCCCGAGTTGGACTCAATGCCAGCACGCGTCAGGAGGATACGGAGCAACCCGTTGCTAAAATTGCTACAATACTTGTATTATGGTATTCTTAGGAGTGTTTTAGCTCGTTGGCCGGTATGTCCGCTAGTATGCTAGTGCAAGTCTTTTGAATGGCCTCTACGTCTGCATAACGCTTTCCTTTCATGTGCAAATGCATTTTTCCGAAAAGGAAGAAGTCGCACGGTGTCATATCAGGTGAATACGGGGAGTGGTTAAAATGTGATTTTTGGTCAAATAATCGTCCTTCGAATGTTCTGAGCAATTTTTGGTCATCAATCAATTTGTGCGGAACAAACTCTTCACACAGCTTTTGTAAGCCCAATCAATCAATTGCAACATTTCCGTAATAGTTTTACCATTTTCGCACCGATAACACAAACATACTAACACTTAAAATGCAATAACTTCACTTCCAATCGATGAAATTCTCACTGGTCTTATGCTGCCTTGTTCTAAGGGAACACATACATTTGTTAGCAAATCTTTTAACAGTATGTTACGGGTAAGACATTTTTTGTTAGCGCAAAGCTTACTTATGTGTTATGGATAACAAAAAGTATTTGTTACATGAATATCTGTTAGTGTTATTATTTTGCTTATCTAAAACTTAAAACTAATTTATACAACTTAAAACTAATATTTACAACTTAAAACTAATATGTACGAACTTAAAGCTAATATATATAAGTAATAATAGGGAAACTTATATTAATTTAGCCTTAAGTTTATGTTTTTTTTCTGTTTAAAACGGTTGTGGCTAAAGGCCACAAATCTCCGGAGCTCCCCACATATAGTCTTTTTATCCTTGTCAGGAAATATATCCAGACGATGGTGACGGAACTAATTTATAAAGTGAAATGTTAGTACTTTATGTTAGTAATATTTTAAAGTTTAGTAGTTTATAGCAACAAATATTAGTTTGATATAGATTTTTGATTTGTATTATAAATACTGACAAATAGTATATTACAGGAGGAAAATATATTTGAGAAGTGTCTTTTTAAAAGAGAATGTCTACTTAATTAATTTTTCTAAAATGAGAAAACATTATAACGGAAACTGATACTGATTTGCCTAATAATAGTATTTCTGTTTAGGACTCACAATTTAACCAGCACTAAGGACAATACTATATAAATAGTTTAAAAAAATTACTATGCAAATATCCTATTTTGAAAACACTCCTCATTTGCTTGAAGCAAGCTTGAAAAAGTTTAATTTTAATTTAGTTTTAAAAACCCTGCTTCGGAGCAGAAATGCGTATATGTACATATATTCCAACTATGTTCACTTTTATTCATTATGAAACACTAATGTTGTTTTTATTTTATGCAATTTTAGATATTCTGCATATGATATCTTGGACGAACAAATGAACATTTTCAGTTATAGAGGAGGTTCTACAGTTCAAAAATATATATAGTTATACTCGGGGGAATATTCGAGATACTTCCGTTTAAAGCTGAAAATTACCCCTATTCGAATAACTAATTTTTCGATTTAAATCCTGGGACGGTATTCTGAAGTCGACACAATTATAATTGTAACCGCACAATTCGTTTCAATTTAGATGTTATATTTTTTACATTTACACATGTATGTACATATGTATATACATACAGTGGGGAGCATTAGTGAGTACATAGATGATTTTTTTGTACTTAATAATGCATAACAAGAGTAATAATGAAGATAACAACAACAATTTTGTTTTTATTTGTTTGGTGCTTAGTAGACTTCAATTTTATTTATATTACAACAACAGAAAATATCAAAGTCCAATAACAAATTAATAAAAACCAAAACAACCTGCATGTACTCAATTTTGCACCCGTTATCATTTCAGCAATGCATTAAATATTTACCGTTTTTTTCCAAATAGAGTGTTTAATGTATAGTAAATTCTAATCTAAGATAATGTTTTGCCTATTGTGGACGTATTTTGAGATAACCAAAGAATAAATAATAAATAAATTTTAAAAAATACTTAAATAAATAAAATATAAAAAGAATGAAAAAAATATCGCGTGAAGTTGAGGACAAAATTGTTTCGATGACTGAAAGTGGACCTTCTTCTCGGCAAATTGCTGTGGATTTGAAAGTAAGCCAGTCGGTAGTGATAACAGCCCAGAAAAGACGAAATTGTCAATCAAATGTGAAGGTCAGAGGGCGTAAAAGGCTTTTGACAGATGCGGACGCACGCCTAATGATGGCACGAATGAAAAAAGACAAGTGTTTGACACCAGGAAATGCAGCCTTTTAAATAGGTAAATCTGTCAGTCGATGGACTGCAAGAAGATCCCTCCACAAAATTGGGTATATCTCGGCGGTTAAAAAACAAAAACCTGCTCTATCTGCCAAAAATGTTAAGGCGCGACTAAAGTTTGCAAGAGATCATGTGAATTGGACTGAAGACGACTGGAAACGTGTTATTTGGTCAGACGAATCAAAATTCAACCGGTTCCAGTCTGATGGTAAGCAGTATTGCTGGCGCCGCCCCAATGAAACCATCAAAAGACATCACGTGAAAGAGACTGTGAAACATGGTGGAGGTAACATCATGGTGTGGGGTTGCTTCACCTGGTGGGATGTTGGACCGCTCCAGAAAATTGAATTATGAGGAAGGAGTTTTATTTGAACCTCTTGCATAGCCATCTTCCCGATTTTGTTGACAGGAGCGCTTATCCTGAAGAAGAGGTCATATTTCAACAAGATGGTGACCCTAAGCATACCGCCAAAATCGTGAAGAAGTGGCTCAGTGAGCAAAAATTTCAGGTGATGGAGTGGCCGGCACAGAGTCCTGATCTCAATCCAATTGAATATTTATGGTCAAATGTGAAACGACGATTAAGATTTGGGAGCGTGTTGCCAAGGAATGGCTGGATATACCGGAAGAAATAATTCAGAACTTCATATTTTAAAATGGTGCAAAACTGAGTACATGCAGGTTGTTTTGGTTTTTATTAATTTGTTATTTTGACTTTGATATTTTCTGTTGTTGTAATATAAATAAAATTGAAGTCTACTAAGCACCAAACAAACAAAAACAAAATTGTTGTTGTTATCTTCATTATTACTCTTGTTAAGCATTATTAAGTACAAAAATAGCATCTATGTACTCACTAATGCTCCCCTCTGTATATGTAGATACTTATAACTCACAAATTACTTATTTCACAAAAATGCACAACCTATAACCACCATTTTAATTAAATATTTGTTTGTTATACGCAATATATTTTAATTTTCCAAATGCTCCAAATGATTTCTGTAATATTGAAATTTTTAATTATACACACAACATTCAATTCACAATGCTTACCTTTTTCTCCTTTTTAAACTGTTTCGTTTTCTCTAAATAAAAGAAATTAATAATATATACATATATATATTTTTCAATTTTTGTTTTTAAATTTTTAGTGGATTTTTTAAATTTTAAATGATACTCGTTTTACAGGAACTTGGAGAGGATGACAAATATGTGGATCAGTATTTGCGAATTACTGCATTTTATATGGAAATATTATATAGAATTACAACAGTTTATAAGCCCTCGGAATTTCCTGAAGTTAAAATGTTTTTTGAAGTTCTACTCCTTTCCAAGTCGTAAGTATTTATATGTGTATAATATGTATATACATCACATGTATATATTAAGTGACATTAATCGATATTACATTTTGTATAGCTTATATTTATTTCAAAAATTGAAATCAACTCAATCAAAAGCACTTTTAGTACCTTACCATCGGACAAAGAAGTTTGATTTTTTATACATATTAATGTGCGAGTTGTGATACTAATGAATGAATCTATTTGCAAAGCAAATTCAGCCAAATTGTGTTTAATTTGGCTCTAGTTCTCTTAGCGCAAGAAATTGATATATGCTCGGAGTTGCATGTTTACCAAATCAAAGTTTATTCGACTAATGTTAAAATTTATTTCCGTTATGAAAAAGTATGGATTTTTCTCATTCCAAAGTATTACTGTTATTAAGTACAAAGCGACATATTTTTAATAATTGCAGTATATCTGACAAATCAATTATACAAAATTAGGAGATTAAAAACAACCTTTCATTGCACTTTATTCTGCAAATTCCTATTCCTATACAATAACAATGACTTACTATGAGAGCCAACAATCATCAATTTAACCATTTTGTGTTTTAAAGTATTTAAAAGATTAACTATGTTAATAAGTTTAATAAGCGTATACAAATATTTTTGTCAATTAATTCAATAATAGTTTTAACGAATATTACATATGACAATACAATTTATTCGCAACTCTACCAAGTAGACATACATGTTTTTTCGCTCGGGATATTTTATTATTAATTAAAATAATTTTTGTAAATTAACTAACTCTGACTGACTAAATTAATAGAGTAAAATATCGTGTTGCGAATACATACATTTTTTAGTTACTAATACTACTGTTAATGTGTCAATTTGATTATCAACATGACACCTAAAAAGCTAATTGTAAACAACACATGTGGTAGCTGTTCTGAAAACGTGAGTTCTCTGTGCCAGAAGTAGTTTCATTCCAGATGTTTGAACCTCAGTAATGCTGAATTTGAAGCAATAGTAATAAATATCAAGGTAAATCGTATCGTATGGAGGTGTCTGGAATGCAATGATTTGGAGGTTAGTGTAAGACATTCTGATGACTCGGGATGAAAGTGAGAATGACAATGTTGATAGACTTGAAAAAGTTCTAACTAAACAATTTGAAGAATTTGCCAAAAAATTGTATGGCAATCTTGAAAACTTTAAATGTTTTATTAGTGAAAGTATCACCGGGTTAAAAAAAAAAGTTAAAATAAAAAATGCACGAGTCTGAGTGACCGTATAACAACTATTGAAAAGAATTTATGCTCCTACAAAATCTCATCATCATCACCATCTTCTCCTGAGGACATAAAAGAAATTAATGATGAGCCAAACGTCATCGCTCTTGGAATGTCAGAGTCAACCAAAGCTACTGGTATCGACCGATTGGAAGATGACAAATTATCACTCTCAGCTGTATTAACTGTTAACTGGATTCATAATCCTAAGACTTGGACGTCAGACACCTAACCGTACACGCCCTCTGCTTATAGAGACCCAGTCAGTTGCTGATGCCAGAGAAATCTTTAAACTAAACCAGAGTGAGAGCTCTCAGGTTAGATTCAAACCAGACCTAACCCCTGCACAACAGACTCACCTTAAGGATTTACGCTCTGAATTAAACACTCTCAACAAGAATGGTGGCACAAGTAAAACCATCAAGTATATCCATGGCATACTGCAGATAGTTAACAAAAATTTTCGCCCGCTCAGTGAAAAGGAAGAAATCCGAAGCTCTTCAAGTGTACTATCAAAACACGCGGGGGCTCCGAACAAAACTAAATAAATTTTTCACAGCGTCTGCCGTCAGTTATATCGACCCCATTTGTATTACTGAATCATGGTTACACCCATCGATTCACGACGGCGAACTAATCGACAGCACTGACACAATTTTTAGGCACGATAGGGATCCAGTTTTGGCCGGTCTACGACGAGGTGGTGCAGTATTCATCGTAGTCAAACGCCACCTTCAAGCTGAACTAATTCAAATTGATCAACAAAACCTTGAGCTTGTCTTCGTCAACGTAAAAGGCACTTCCCATGATATCATTGTTGGCTATGTCTACATGCCACCTCTCTCAAACTTTGATTCCCAAACTAATCTACTCACTCTGCTCTCTTTCATAAATGATAAATTTAAAAATGCTAAACTATTACTTGTAGGCGACTTCAATTTGCCTAGTAGTGTCCCCCGAGCGGACTGTCAAAGGATTCTCCAAGATGGTTTAGCTTTTAGCTTAGTATCCAGCTCTCAAGAAATGTAAAAACTTCATATAAAAAAACGCTTAAGAAATGGTCAAGTTTCCTGCGACAAATTTACTTGTGCTAGTATGCAGCCCTAAAGAAATCTAGTACTAATTTTTAATAAATTTTTTCAGTAAAACAGGTTTTTCGAAGAGTCGTGAAATAAACAATTATTTCTTGAAGGAAATTCAAAGTAAATTGTTAAAATCATCCTGAATTTGGTAAAATATTTATTATGAAGTATATTTCTTTCGAAATGTTGTATAAAGCTTACCAATCATCAACAACATTCATTTAATCGCAATGAAAAAAATTATGTTACGACACACATACATACATATATATTACGAACAAAGTTTATTTTCTTTCGTTTATTTTCTCTTGCTCTTCTATTGTATATCATTCACCATGCGTAACTAGCTGTCAGAGTTACTTGAAGAAGTAATGTATTTTTTTCTTGCGCAATTACTTGAGAGCTGGATACCAACCTTTACTTGATTGCACTCAAGTAAACAACACAAGCAACTGTGATAACACTTCTTGATCTCTGTTACAGTACTATTGAAATTAGTGTTGATAAAATCCTACCATTTGTTGAAGAGGACAAATATCATCCGGCTCTCTCTATCAGTCTTAATTTTCGACCTAATCTTACATCACCGATTTCAACAACATACTCCTTTAAGAAAGCCGATTATCATAATCTCAACGTCGTCAATGAAATTGCTTGGTTTTATAACAAGCTAGGGGTAGGCTTTACCCTATATGTGACTGTACATAAGAATTATGTCAGTAATTACGCTAATTGATTCTCTTTTGAGCTTATCAACAGAATTAAGGTCAAAAATGCGGCTCACTCACAGTACAAGAACTCTAATAATCAACGATATTACGCTGGCTTCAGCATGTTAAAGCGTGATTGCAAAACTTTAAGTATTGAATGCTACAGAAAATATGTTGACAAAACAGAGAACATGGTTCAGTCGGACACAAGTGTGAACATTCCATCCGAGATGTCATGGCTCGATCAATCTGCTACCACTGCTGAATCAATTAGTAACCTGTTTGCCTCATACTTCAAAACAACATTCACTGATGATAACAATAATGATCGAATTCGCAGATAACCTTAAGCTCTACAGAACCATCAAAAATGAGCTAGATGTCCAGCTGCTTCAAGATGACATTGACAAACTGTCGGTCTGGTGTACTAATAACAAACTTGACCTTAACGCCGCAAATAAATGCGCGGTAGTCTCGTACTCGCGCTCTCACAGCAATATTGCCACCAGTTATAAACTAAACGGTCACAACCTGCAAGAAGTTCCCGACATCAAAGACCTGGGCATCATCATAGACTCGAAGCATATAGACAAGATCACACTCGAAGCTTTCAAGGATCTTGGATTAATCACGAGAACAGGCAAAGACTTTCGCAATCCCTACACATTGATATGTCTATATCGCCAACTGGTCCTACCCATACTTGAGTACGGCACTGTCGTCTGGTCTCCTCACACGGATGTCTCGTTCAACAGATTGGAGGAGGTCCAAAATAAATTCTGTAAGTCTCTATCTTTTCATACAACCTTGAGGTCGCAGGTACTCTCTACTGATAATATTCGTTCACGGTATAAAATCAATAGCTAGGCTGTCAAGTCGCTGACCTAGTATTTTACTTTAAGGTTGCTAACAACCTAATAGATGCCCCAGAGATTCTTGTTAGTTTTGAGTTTGCTCCTACGGCATTCTTGCTGAGACAATCACGGAAACCTAACAAAAAAGACACAGAAAAACTACGTCTTCCTGGACCACACAACAGGATTGCTAACCATGTAAATTCACTTCACCAGAACATCGATTTCTATGGAAGCTCCCTCAGTTCATTCATCAATAATATAAAGGTCAAACTCCTTCCATACCATTAATTTGATCATTGTAATACAATTGCCCTTATTATTATATTTTTTCTGTTTTTTCTTTTACTTATAAAATTAACGGTTGTATATTGCCGATTGGCGTTAATTTGTTAAATAAATAAATAAAAAAAAAAATTATTTTAGGCCGCCTAGTTTTCTGCGAGGGAGCAGCATTTTTACTTGCATCGAGAAGCATGTCTACCCTGGTTTATCCAATATACTATTATTGTTATATAAAAATTATGAATTTCAAAAGGTAAACATCTTTCTAACTATTAAATGCTTAATTTTTAGTATAAGATATTGTTGCACATCTGGTATCGTATAATTTTTGTTTATCTCAACCTTATTGACGATTTTGATGTATTGAAATCTACAAAACATTTAAAGGTCGGAAAAGTTCGGTTTACCACCATTGTTAATACATAAAAAAGTGTTGCTGACATATTTCTGAATTTTGCGTAATAAAGCTCTTGGCCGGAAAAAGTCCGGGTCAATTCCGCTAACGTGGAACTGGCTCCCTTGGAAATCGTTTGACTAGAATCGTTTATCTAGAATTGACCCCGACAGACCAAATATGTGTCCAACATAAAACGTGTTTCCGCATGTCTCTAACCACCTCTTTGTATGCCCAGAAAACTCCCCTTTATCTAGCCCCACTGGTACGACCTCATCATAACAATACGTTTCGTGGGCCTACCGTTAAATGATTTTGGGGATTAGATGACCGTTACAACAAGTTTACGGTCAAGAATACAGCAAATTTTTTGGTCAAAAGTAGTTGATAGAGTGTATAGAGCTAAAATAATAACACCCTTGAATCGGCTTTGACTAGATATACAATTTTAAATGAATCTTGAATTAGGCAGCATGATACATTTCTCTTAAGATATTTGGTAGGCACCAGGTCTTTTTCGATAAGCATGTTGAAATATATATATATATATTTTTTTTTAATTTAGTAATTTATTTTATAAACATAAATTTCTGGGAATGTACTTGTATTTATACTTCACTAAATTATACTTTACAACTAAATCTAATATGACATTTCTATTTCAATGTTTCAAATAAAGCGATCAGCAATTGTCTAATTATGAAATTAAATTTTTGGGTGGGATAGTCACACCGAGATGATGAATCCGAATTTCCACCTATAAAAGCATTCCCAAATATCGATATTAAAAAATATTAAATAGCATGTTTCAGAGAAGAATTTAATTACAATGAGAGTAAATAAATTACATATATAAAAGTACGCTCTCGAACAGAAAGTAAAAAAATCTACCTCTTCAAATAACAAAACAACTTGGTTAGATTATATTTTTAAGTGAAATTTTTATATATTATTCTATTTATTGAATTGGTGGCTTTTACTTGTAAATCATGGTCTATTTTGTATATTTCGATGTAGTTGATAGCAAATCATATTGGAGGAAGCGACTATTGCTACGAGTTCATTGTAACTTATATTCATTGTTGTATCACCAATAAAGAAGATGATTACTTTGAAAGAAGTGCCGAACTGATTTTCGAAATTTTTAAACGGTTATTTCAAAGTGAGTAAATTTATTAAGATAAATTTTTTAAAATTATTTGTTATTCGAAGTAAACTAATTTTATTGTATTAATGATTAATTGGGTTATTATTGGTTTTTATAAATAAATTTAATAATAAGAGTTCTGAATATACATTTTTGAAATTATATGTAATATTTCGTAATTTCCCTTTGGCATAATTTACGATTAAAATCGTATGAATAACTGTGTAATTAACAATTTTTTAGATGCGAAATCAGATGAACACGAATAAAATGCGTGTTCGCCGATTATGAAATTAAATATGAGTTACTATAGCTTCTGAAATCAAAACCAAAATAACTTGAGCAACTTCCGACAAAATGAATGACTATTTGGAGAACATTTTATGATTCGTATTTCTTAAATCTAATTGAAAATTCTTAGTTCTCTGGATGTCTACGTTATACGTTAGCAACGCAAATTTCTTACTCCCTGATAATATGTGAAACAAGTGTTTAATATATCATCAAATCTAATTTTAAAGGACCTGACATATTCGTGAATGCAGTACGTTTTGATGAAATAATAGATGTGTATGCTACTTTGGCTCTTTTGGATTCTTCCGGGACTTTGTTAAGCAACATGCAGCAATATGTTATTAAAGGAAACTCAGCTTTATCCTTTGCATGTACAGATGTGTTGATATTAGTATCAAGGTAAATATAATTGTATATTGTTTTTATTTATTATTAACTTATAATATTACAGCTGTAAGGACAGTCGAGCTTATGAGCTCAAAGATGGTCTTCAGTTCTGGGTGGAAACAAACAATCGTTTCGCTCAATTTTCCTCAAATTACCGGCGCCTGAATGTTGAACGACTTATGGAGAATTATATAATATTAAGCTCTGGATTAAATTTGGAAGAAAATATTGAACATCAATTTCATCAATCGATTAACTTACAAAATAATTACAGCATACTTCGTTGCATAAACAATGTCAGCAATACATTGGATATGAAAATATTGAGCTCGAAAGCTATCAGCAAATTTAGCAGATTGATGGAAATTTTTGATCGCAATGCGATGAGTTTAAAGGACTATTATAAACTTGTAATTATCATACTTTTTCATTAATATCGTAGATTATTCGAACATGTAGCATAGTTAGCTTAGCGGACTCACTGTTTGCTGTTTTTCTTCTGTTTATTAATTTTCGTTTAAGTATTATTCTACTTTTATCTATTAGTAGTACTATATATGTATGTAAAATCCCTTTTGTCTGCTCACATCGGAGTTGACCGAGTTGTATCTTCATAGGCGTCCACCGTTCTAGCATTGCGCCAGCTCTTGTGTGACCACAAGATCCTTTTGGCCTAAAGTAGATGGGGAATCAACTGAACTACTTGCCTTGAGCAAAGTTTATCCAGCCCTTACAAGACTGAAGCTGAAACATCTCAGCTGTTTTACTTTCGGCAAACCAGAATATATAGTTGGAACTGGCGTATCTCAACAATTGCATTAAATTATCTTACAATTCTTTCAAAACTTAATGACCATAAGCAAATGAAAACTATGTGAAATAGATATTTTCGCTATACAATTAATTGTTATGCTCCTGCAACATGTTGTTACAAAGTATAATAGTCTCTAATTGGATCAAATCCGCTCAGAGCAGATCCCCTAAGCACCCCTACTTCTCGTCAACTCCGCATATAACGGTACTGTTAAAAACTACTAAAAGTGCGATAAATCATTAACTGAATACGACAGAAACATACAATTTTATACCCGGGATTGTATGAGAAGAGCCGGGGTAATAACTGGACGATGGGCATAGCAGCGCTCACTTTTAGGTGAAATCACATATCTCGGTACCTGCTCGGTCAATTGTTCTCACATTCCTATTTATTAAAGCCTACAGGTATTATACATTGGGTAGTCGAAAAAGTTATCAAATACAATAATAATGTGCGAAAAAGATCGTGCTCGAAGGGTGGCTAGGCTCAACAATGATCGCAAAGTAAGATCAACCAAAATGATACATATTTGGTTCATTAAAGTTCATTTTAAATATAAAAAAATAAGTTGAAGTTTGATTAAAATACGAAGACTTTTTCTACTACCCAATATTTCCGAGTTTTTTCCCACGCAGGAATCTAGTAGTTTTATGACGAACGTTCAAGTTAGCACTCGAATTAAGTCTGACTTCTGGATTATAGTTGTCGGTATTCGTGCGGATGACTACCAGAGCAGTATATTTGAAAACGCTGATAACAATCCTGTGTTTACATTTAAAAAAATCACTATATAAAGTATTTAATATGTTCAAATAATGCAATAATCCAAAAAGAGGCTTTCGAAATAAAATAAAAAAAAATTAATTTCACGTTCGTCGTGAAATCTCTAATCTGAAAAATTATTTTCTTATATATAAGACTGTAGCGTATATGCACAATTATTTCAATTGTTATTATGAGTTTAATCATATCAATATAAATGTAAATTCTTAAAATATATTTGACTACAAAGAAGTTAGAAAGTATCAACCATTTTCTTAAATCAATTAGAGGCACTTGTAAGTAAACAAGGTATACATACTTAATAGAGATAGTACTAAATTTTTAAATTCGGAATATACTCTATATGCTCAAGATCGGTTGTCTTATTTTAACACTTCTGTAAAAATGCACAACATGTAGAGGTGTTAGTGCAGTAAAGCCAACGCGTTATAGGCGCATGGAAAACTAAAAATATTTGGACTAGAACAAAATATGTTTCTGATAAAATCAAACGGATTATGAATAAATTCTATAACAATTACTTAATGAAACATAATAACAGATTTCAAGTATATACTTTCTTACTAACAAAATATTCCTTTCATAATTTTCTCCTTTATTGTTTTACGTTTAAATACTACATATAATTTGAACTATCTTCGAAGTAATGACAAACAATACTAATATACTTATGTATATGGGGGTGGGTAGTATTAATAATATTAATGTATGAGAGAATTTTAAATATAATAAAAGGTCAACCGTTTATTTTAGGTTTCGCACATGTACAAGCTTGTGAAATATAAAGCAAAAGTCCCTGATTGCTTACAACAAAAAATTGCGGATCTACTTACAAATTGCGGAGCGAAACCATCTTTCCAAAGACTGATGAGTGCTGGATTATTACTTATGGCGAATAACCATATAAATGAAGAAATAGAATTGAAAATTATTACGTTTATTGAAAAAAACTTTCAGGGTGGAATGTGCTTTCCGATGCTGTCGTTTTGGTTAATTATACAATGCTTCTGTAAGCGGAAAGCTAATTCGATTGTTCGAAATATTGCCGAAGCTATTTACAACCAAGTAGAAATACCTGATATAATTCAAGTTAGCACATTTGAAAAAGTACCTAAACCATCGGTTATTTGTTCAGCTGATTTTGAGTTTAACGCCAACATTGAAAATAATGTAGATAGTGCGATAAGTTTAAGGCCCACACATGTTCTTCGTAAACGTCCACGAAATGACATAACCTTTGACGGAAGTGAAATCGACGACACTATACAAAATTTCAATCAGTTGTTGCAGAAAATTAACATGTTTTCTCAAAAACTAACAGAAAATGATTATGCAAAATTAAATAAATTATGTAAGGATATTAAAGTAATCACTGATCGTCACTATTAATACCCAAAGTATTAATTTATTAAAACATAGAATGTGTAACATCAATAGTTGAAAACTTTATTGGGATTTAAAAATGGCAATTGTTATATTTTTCCGTTCTGGTGCGTTAAGGAATTTATTGTACAGGCGACTTTCCTGTTCCTCCTGGAGTAAAAGGCCTAGAAAGAAGGTTTTTTTTTACTAGAATATTTTATGAAATAATTCTAACTTACCCGCAAAACTAGCAGATACAAAACATACTATGCTGCCAACAACAAATGCCCGCATGGCAACTGAAGTTATCACATATCTTCTATTTGGTGCCATTGCGCTGAGTGTACCAATGAGTATGCCCAGAGCACTCGGATTTGCAAAGCCGCAAATTGCAAATGTTGTTATACTTATGCTGCGAGCCTATAAAATTAAAGTGAAGTCACAGATGATCTTATTTAGAGTGTTTGTTTGTGAGCTGTAACATTACTTCCAATACTCCACTTTTGATGTATTCACCCAAACGCTCATAAGCCACAAATTCATTGATGATTGACTTAGTGGCGACAATTTTTGCTACAATATTACAGTCTTCATAGGCCACACCCATCGTCCACACCAGTGGTATAAAAAGCTTCGAAAATATCCATTCAAAATCGATATCTTCCAACCCAACTAAAAAACATAGCCAGTTAACGACACCATTGAGGAATGCCACAAATGCAACAAAAGCGACGATATTGGCAATTATTCCTGCTACAATAGGAATAGCATTATTGGCCCCGTTCGAAGCAGCATCCAGTATTGAAGAGTCTTCTCTGTATTATTGTGCATGAAATGAAATTGACATATCAGCCTTGGCTAAATGGAATTAATATAAATAATTTGGGCACAATAGACACTAGGTCACGGTGCAATCCTCATTTATTTATCTAAATATAAATTAACATATAAGTAAATATGTAAGGATAAACGAGATAATGCCGACAATAAATAGAAATAAATCGGCTGATAATCTAACAATAATTGATAGTTCGCCAAACTGTAATTTGTATTTTTTCTATTTTTGGACAGATGTCGCTTGAAGTCAGCATCAGAGGTAAGCAGTTTTGTATTGCTAATTAAACTATGTGCTAGTATATTAACAAAAACAAATTTTAATATTTTTAGATGGCAGAAAATAAACAACACACATTTTGATATACATTTTCCCAATATTCTTAATTTTTTCGCACACTTTTTCCGCATTACAATCAATTATTGCTTTTAATTTCACTCTATTATTTTTTGACGTAGTTAATAATAAACTAATTTTTTTTCGTTAAATTTATATTGATTTTCCAAAAGTACCAAAATTTCTATTGATGATTAACCTTATACAGTCAAGTGAAAAATAATAGGCACACATGGCGGTATTTCGTAAAAATGCAAATAAAACAAATATTTTCATTAAGTTTGAAATTGTGTTTTTATTTTTAAATAGCTTTATGTTTTTACGATGAGAATATTAGAGAAAATAACTCAAATTAAATTCAAAGAAGAATGTTCAATTCATTTTTTTTTTACAAAATTCTTTTGACTTTTAGAATTTGATTTTTCAATACTTCATTGCAAATCCTTTATTTTGAATGACAGCCAGACATCGGCGAAGTAACGCTTCCTGTATCAGCAGCCAAAGTGCGTCATTGTTTGTTGCTTTTTTATCCTTCAAAGCTACTTTCACTTGTTGCCACAAGTTCTCGATGGGATTTAAGTCCGGTGATTGAGCAGGCCAGCTTAACACGTTTATATTGTTATCCGAGAACCATTTGTTTGCTAGCTTCGATGTGTGTTTTGGGTCGTTGTCTTGCTGGAACCCATCGAAGGGGCATGTTTTCCTCAGCATAAGGCATCATAACCTCATTTAATATATTGCAATGAGTCACCGCTGTCGTTGTGTCCTTAATTCGATATATTGGACCAACTCCTTGGTAAGAGAAACATCCCCACACCATAATTGATCCTCCTCCGTGTTTTACAGTTTTAACTGTATATTGCGGGTTAAAAGCTGTGTTCACTGGCCTGCGCACATGTTGAGTACCGCAGTCAGGGTGAAAAAGATTATATTTGGTCTCATCTGACCACAGTATATTGCGCCATTTCTCCACTGGCCACTTGACGTGCTTATTAGCAAAATGTAACCTTTTAATCACATTTGGTTTGACAGAAAAGGTACTTTTCTGGGTCTCTTTGCTTTTAAATTTTTATTAATTAGCCATTTACGAATGGTAGAAGTGTCGACGTCCAAAGAATATATTTTTTTAAGTTCACTAGAGGATGAAAATGGGTCCTTTTTTAAAAATCGCATTATATTCCTTTCAAGAGTTGGAGATATTTTTGATTTTCGTCCACGCGTTTCTTCCTGAGGCTTATATTTTATTGCATTCTCTACCATTCTCTTGGAGTAATTCAACGTTTCGGCTATTTTCCGGTATGAAAAACCCTGATTGTGGAGGTGTTTTATTTGCTTACTCTCTGCCCATTTTAAATTACTAAATTAAATTATATGTTAACCTTCTCAATTTATGATTATATAAAATCTCATATACAATACCTTTATTGCTTAAAAGTTTTAAGAATCCCAATTTCAAAACTAACACCAATTTTAAATTCCCGTCCCTATTATTTCGCACACTCAAAAACGATCTCACTTCACAAAATGATCAACAGCTGCGAAACGACGCCAAATATTTTTTCTTTGATAACGGTTCTTTACTTCACTGACATCCCAGCAAACAATTGCATGTTACATTAAAATGAATCAGATTTTATTTTTTTTTTACCTATTTTCAAGCAAGTGTCCCTATTATTTTTCACATGACTGTACGTACATTTTTATTTCACTTTTTCTTTAATAAATAAAAAAATTTCACTATCAGCTGTCTAAATGCACAAGTCTGCCGTTTGTCACCATAAAATTTACATGCGCATTAGCGTTGCTTAAGGCGCATTAATTTTGCACGTCTGTCAGGGCTATAAGTCCCTAAATAAAAATGGCAGCGGCAAATTCCTGCCGAAAATTCCTCATTCTCATATATTTTGTATGGGGCATACCGAAATAAACGCGGCGATAACCCTGAGGGTTGAAAGATTATATTTTGACAGCGAATTAAAAAGTAATTTTGCTTTTTCAAAGACGCGATGTTTAATGCTTGCACAAATTAATTATTAATAAACTAATTCCATTCGCGCTTCTCGTCTTTTGTACTAATTTTATAATTTAAAGGAGAGTTTTACTTAAAGTTTAAGAATATCGCGTCGCCATTAACGCGCCGCTCAACGCTTTTATTTAGTTATGCCCGTTACAAATATAATAATTAAACCTGGTTGCAAATTAACATTTGAATTAATTTTTTTTATTTTGTTATCTCAAATACGGGTTTACAAACTAAGAAAAAGCATTATTAATCCCAAATGCTGGATTTAAAAATAAATACAATTTTAATCCCAAAAAAGGAATTTCAGAATATAAATAATTTTAATTACACAAATCGAGTTAAAAATTAAAATTTACCAAACTCATTGACATTTTGCGCGTTTGGGTGCTTTGTGTTCTACTATTTTAAACTTCAGCTCGCACAGAGCCATCATCTTCAATACTCTGGAGCCCTGGTCGGCAAACTTACAAATTCAAATTAAAAAATAAAATTTGCAAAAAATAAGAATCTAATTTTTAATCCAAAATTTGTTTAAATAAAAAGTTCACATCCCTGATCAATTTTACTTTAATGTTAACTTACGATTTTTCTAGTTGAATATTTTTTGACGAAGTTTGACTCTCCTCTGTTTCCGGCATGTAAAGTTTTGAAAAAGCCAATGCTCCTGGAGCTGCCATAACGCTTGAAGTTATTAAGTGAGCTGCCGAAGCACCAAAGGATAAATATGCAGCCAATACCGTTCCGGAGACTGTTGCGAATCCAGAGGACATAATTGAATGCAATTCACTGGATGTAAGCTTGGTAAGATATGGTCTAATAAGCATTGGACTCTCTGACATGCCGAGAAATATATTAGCGGCTGATGTAACACTTTCACAAACAGTTGTACCCAAAATTTGTTGTAACAGCCACCCGAGTTTCATAACTGTCCATTGCATAACACCCCAATAATGTAAAATTGAAATAAAAAAACTGAAGAAAAATATCACTGGCAAGATTGCAAAAGCGAAAATTCCGTCATCGATTACTGCATCTCCAAATACAAAACGACTTCCTTCATCACTAAACGAAAGAAAGGTGGCCACTTTATCGCCTAGACATTCGAAGATTTTACGGCCTACATCCCACCGAAGGCACAGGATACCCAAAATAAATTGGCATGCTATTCCCGATATCACGGTTCGCCAATTGATTGCGTTGCGATTTGAAGAAAATACGTAACCTGCTAAGATGAGTAAACATGGAGCCAACAGCGATCTTAATTTATTTCTGTCCTCTTTGGTTTCAAAATACAAAAAAATTGCCAGTAAAATTATAAGGACTATGAGCATTATACCGGATACAAGTCTAATGTGGAAGAAAATTATGTTAACATGTAGTGTGTATAAATTTTAAAAATATAGCAAAACTTTTCTTCAATAATACTATGAGTAATGCATACTCGTATATATATAGTATTATCATCATGAAGTACTTCAAAATTAATCAGAAAAAATATTAGCATATATCAAACACTTAATGGAATACACAGAATATACTACTTCCGTAAATAATTTCAACTCTTGCCTTCTTGGAGTCGTCTATAGAAGAAAAAAACACAGGGACAGGAGTTGGTTCACTGGTAGAAGAGAATTTTGTATTTACTCTAATATAGTTTTAATGGGTATTTCATGCTATTTTTAAGATTTATTTTAGTTTTGCCCTCAAGTAAAGAAAGTAGTACACGTTTCTTATTTAGAAGGGTATGGTTTTTCAGAAAAGTATTGTGTGCAAATGGATGAATAATAGTAACAGCCTTCGACGACTGTCGACAGGAAGGAAAATTTTAATTATTAATTCGTTAAGGCCTCTACAAGAGCGTTTTGACAATGAAGAGCGAACTGAAATAAAAAGTACTAAGGCTAAGTAAAGATGCTTATTTTGAAATTCTCTATGCTTTACATAAGTAAAAGAGAGGAACAAAATTATTCATAACTGCATCGGGTTGGTTTCAGCCTATTTTTTTTTTTTTTAATTTTTGGTGCACTATGGGGGGGGAAAAAATAAAAGAAATAACCATACAAAAACCTTTTCAAAAGAAATACTAAACAATTAAGGTTTAAAAAGAACTAAATAAATGGCATAATATTTGTATTCATAAATTTTACAACAAATCTATGTTATAATCTAGCATTTCATATATGTTTTTATAACATACTTTTAATTGTCAGTAATATAGACCAAAAAAGCTGTGTTGGGGATTAATATCATCATAAAAAAAGTAAACTAAATTCATTTGCAAAATTTGTGTTCGGATCCTGATCACGGTCCGACGAATACTATTTTAAATATTTACCTTGTTCGACTGAATTTCTTCCATCGCTTTCCAAGTGGATAAATATAATTCCGATGTAAGGTCCTGCCTACCTTCGGTTTTATGATTTGAAAATATAAAAGGCCAAGGTAAATGAACGCCAATAGCAGTACCAATAACCCATAACCACTGCAGAATTGAATGCCACATAATTCATTTGGTTTAAGGGAATCGCACTCATTATTCTCTGCAAAATGAAATGCTTACATTAAATATTATTATTAAAGTTAAGGTTTCATACTCTCGCATTGTAAAACTTTATATTAAACCGTGAATGACATACACTACTTTTCGCAATCTTAGTTGCTAATATTATGGGTCATAGACTCACATAGTTCTATTACTAGTCTATTTTTATCCAAAGTGCCATATTTCACTTAGAAAAGAATATAAATTATTTTGAGGTTTGCACCGCGACTTCAGCTCTATTGTGCCCTCTCCTCATTTACAAAGGCCCAGCACTCTGATGAATTCCATGAACTTGATTGGCCTAATGGAGGTGTTGTGATCCCTGTTCACATAAAGGGATCCAAGAGTCTTGAGCCTGAATATACAGATTGCTACGCAATCTACAATCATTTGCTCAAGTGAAAGAGTCATTGGGACTAAAAATTGTGATACAAGGGAATTAGGCGTTGTTCTAAGTAGATTTCGCCCATTTCCACAAAATAACATAAAAATTTCAAGACGTACCTAAGATATGGGATTCCACCTAAGGGTGGGCGGTGCTACGATCATTTACCATGTACCATCCTGCATGCAAAATTTTAAAAACTTATTTACTTAATGTAGTTTTCAACTGAACCGTTATATGAACAGTGGGTGCGGTTATAATCCGTTTTCCCCATTTTCAGTCAAGCGACGCAGGGGAAAAGCCACATTTGGTGCGGCACCGACATTTGGCGTAATGGATAATGGAAAGATTTTTTCACCACGAGACATAAAAGCTTAACCGTCCCTCTGTCCATCCTTTCACCAAACCCTCTAGACTGAGTGAAGTTCCTGTGACTTGCCCTTGATAGAATGCGTTCATAGAAGCCAAACATTGAGAAGAGAATAAGGAAAGTATCGACTTTCTTTTGCTGCTGTAGAGGCGCTATAGGGATGAGGCAAAAATAGTTGTACGTATTATTCTGCTTCTATTAAAATGAAGTCAATCCAACAACGTTTTATATTGTATTTATCTCCTGGAAAAGCTACAACCGCTAAAATCCTTGAACTCATTTAAAAAGCTACTCACATTGGCGACTGGGGTGCACCACTGGCTACACCAGTACTGACTTAATATTATTCTTGAATTAATATACAAAACAAAATTTAACAAGTCAAATCAATAAATACACAACCAACAGAAGTTTGAACACTTATACTTAATTTAAAGATAAGAGATCCTTAAAACGAGTACAATGTCATTAATAGTTCATGTATGGTAATTATCGGGTTAAGACAAACTACATCCTCGAAGGGGGGAGTATGAAGACATCAATATAGACTTATATATCCAATGCAAGTAGCGGAGCAGTAGGATAAGACTATTAAAATTCCTTCAACTGAAACTCACCGACATCGATGTAGTGATACGTCGCATAAGCGAAATATCCCGCCACAACAAGGTGTATTCCCACGTTTAGGCCCTTGTGAGAAGCTTTTCGTATTCTTCGTTTTATATTTGATGTTCTGCTTTTGGATTTCAATGTAGATTCACTTATGTTGGCCTGAAAGCAGAACACATACATATGTGAATGTAGTTATCGAACACTAGTTGATTACGATACTATGAAATCACATATAAACATATGTAGAAACTCAAAATCAAATTTATATATGATACACGTCGTTGAATAATACCTGGTATTCTTCGTAGATACATTTTCGATGACAAAAATGTTGGGGCAAACTGTTTTGCCGCGCATAAAAAGGCCTTCGTGATCATCCAAACCTGTTTGGGCTCCCTAACATCAAGTAAGCTAAAGTCTTACTGACAATTAAATGGTTTTAATTAAGGATTCTTGTAGATTCATACGTTATGTAAGTACTTTACTTAGGCTTGTCTAACTAACAACGCCTGATATGTTATTGATTACCGATATACGTTTGATTCAATATAACTGATGCTTTGAACTGATAGGTTATTTCTAACGGATATTTGTAACAATAGTAATTAATTGACAGAAATAAAGAATTGTAGGGGATTGTTTAGTATCGCGCCGGTTAAGTATCGTTTATGGAGAAACCCTTATTGGAAAGAGGAAGGATCGAACTTTTTAAAAAAAACCTCCCTCGACCCCCTAGAGCCCTTATAGACCTGTATAGACCGGTAGGGAGGAAAAATCAGTTTTTTTTGCTCATTTTTCCATACAAACTGAAACCAATGCAACCCAGGCAACATTTTTGTATGGACAAGGAATCAAAATAAAGAAAATCAAAATGAAATCGTTAAGCGGCATTGGGCCGCGCTTTAAAAAAATAACCCTRGCCGGTCCAACACCGGCTACGCCATCCACAGTTAATTTAGCATTGAACACCTTTTCGTGTTCACTTCATACATTTATTGCTAGTGGGTTTAATCTATTCCCTTGTGTTCGTGCTTTCTCGGTAATTTGACAGTTCAAATTAGGCAGTCATTTTGGTTTTTCGCATTATTGAATTCAATGCAGAAAAAGGTGTATTTTATTTAAAGATTTACAAAGAAATTAACGATCAAAAGTAATTAAAAACATTGCTAGTGATTTTTATAATTCATAAGTAATATACTATGTGCGTGAAAATGTATCCATAATTGGTTTGATACAATGCACAACAGATGAAAATACACTAGCATATATTTAGAAATTTGCAAAAAATAGCATTTTTTAMAGTGAATTTGTGGAAAAATTTGTGAACCGATTTTTATAAAATATGTTTTAAAATAAAGTTCGTAATTTAAGCATACATGCGTATTTAAAATTAACCGGCGCGATACTAAACACAACCCGAATTGTACATCAAATCAATTTAACGGGACCACTAGAATTTCACATGTCTGCGTGTAAGTCAATCGTGCAAGCGATAGCTTAAGTAAACATCGATAAAATTCTAACCACTCTGAGGAAGTTCTCGTTACAGATGGGCAAAATCAAACTATAACTAAGGTCAAGGTTTTTAAGTTAAAAAAAAAATACTTTTTTTAGGAATTTATTTCTCAAATATGGATTGAGTAATTTTATTCGGAGCTTTTGTACATTATTAACCATACTTTTGACAATCTACAATATATTATTCATGCGGAAATTTTTTGTGGAAAATAGCAGCTTTCACTTTAAATGACCGCCAAGAAAGAATGAAAGAAACAATTATCAGAGAACGATGGGGGAGGATTTTTTTTTGGCCGAGATGAATATTTTATGTAACTGTAAACCACACAGCTCGTTCTGATTATATATATCATCGAAAATGTTAAACTTTGTGATAAAGTTGTGCTTGCCAGATTGCAAGACTAGAGTTGTCAAATTCCGAAATTTAAAAGACAACCTACGTATGAGAAGTGTGGAATAACTTTTCATCCGATTTCGAAAATTTTTTGGCCTACGATTAAATACTTTGAGGACACTATTTGCGCAAAGTTTCACTTAAATAACTTTACTGATGTTCGGCCAGCTCCCATTAAGCTTCTCAGTATGTTTAGTTTGTATTGCTTAGTTATGATAGTTTTGAGGTATTCCTTTAATGCCGTTTTATGGGCATGGGGGAGGTCCAATTGCTCCCATCTATGAACTCGTCCTCACTTTTTTTGCCAACATATGTATATTTCATTGCGATACCTCAATTTGTCTCGTCATCCTGATCATTTAACTATATAACTCTTATATACATATAGTATATCTCACTAAGTTTTAGGTAATATAAACGACCGTAAGATTAATAAAATTATTATACTTTATAGCAACATGTGGCAATAGTATAAAAAAAATATCATTGAGTTGTGCGTTCTTGATTTCTACTCTTGTGGTCATCTCAAGGGCAGATCCAGAGTAGAGTTTGGGGAAGGGGTTATGTTGGATTGCGAAACTTTATAATTTTGTCAAAAGTTTTTGTTCGATCACTGTCACTTATGATGGATATAAAGAGTAACTTTTATTTTTTGGGAGGGGAACTATCCGTAGTCCCCTCCCGTCGATCCGCCCCTGGGTCATCTGAAAAATAATACAATGATGGATTCTTGATTAGTACGAGTGTCGCTATCTCAAGAAGTTGAAAAACTGAAAATAAATACAGAAAAAGTGCTTACACAAAAAAAATTCTATTTTTCTACTTAATGGAAATTTTTTAACATATTAACAATTTTAATTTTTAATTTTTTTTGGCTTTATGTGATAGAGAGATATTAGAACTTCATTGTAGCAACTATATCGTGAAAAAGTAGTGGGGAAGAACTATAAACTACAGACTATAAAGTTTCGTCGTCCGCTAAAACCGTCCAGTTGCCACGACACTAAAACGGCTATAACTTCGAAAATATATTTAATTTTGAATGATCATTTAGAGATATATCTTTGAATATCTAAGCTATCGATATATGACAATTTTTTTTTTAATTTTCTGGACAAGAATAACCCCTTGATATATCGTTTTTAACATGCATATGCACATTAAAATATTAAAACCATCACCTTTTTCACATGGTTATCGGCGTTTGCCCCATTTTCTGAGGGCTAAAACCAGTTGAAAGGAAGCATAATGGTTACTTATAAAATTTAGTTTTTATATGTAGGTAACTTACATCACTAATCTCATACGCGGTATTAGCCCGCCCCCTTTCCATTTTCATTACAGTCGCCTGCGGGATTTGCTAGAATAAATGATTTAATTTGTTTGTATCAAAATATTTTAAATATATATATGCATACTAGTAAAATATTAAAAGAAAATATTAATAACAATATTAGTTTTTCCAACATTGTTAATATTTCATATATTTGCTATTACTTAGCGAATGCATAAAGTTTAATTTGTTCGAATTTTGCTTGCGATATAAAAGTTCTCTATCGAATTTTTCATAAAACATAACAAAATAAAAATCAAAATAATAAAAGACAAAATTATCAAAATATTTGAAGAAGTTAGTTATCATTTGGGTTTTTACCCAACGATAGTTTTTTATTTGTCGTATTCGCTGCTAGCCGCGCTATATACTTTGTATACTGAACAGTATTTTATTATATTAAGTTTGCCACGAAGTTTGCACCCGTTTCTCCCCAGTAAGGTGATCCTTTGCCAGATCTGTTGATATCGGATATATAGCATATAGCAGTCATATAAAACTTGAGCGATTGGAATCATGTTTTTTGATGAGAAATTTTCACAAAATTTGGTAGGGAATATTATCTAAGGCCATAATGCAATATCCAAAGAAATAGTTCAGATCGGATCGCCATAGCTCATGGCTGACATAATAACTAATCAAACAGAATCAAGTTTTTTAAGGAATCTTTTTATATGTGAACTGTTTTATAGCTTCGGTGCAACCGAAGTTAACGTTTTTGTTTTGTTTCTTCGTTATATATACAAGTATACCTCTCACTTCAATTAATTAAATAGTACGTAAAATTAAATATTTCATATTATATTCATATTACTGCTTTATAAAGGCAGTAAAATTTGTTAAAATCAGATGATATAGGAATGGTTATAATAAAAACTTCTAACAGTGTGATAACTCATTAAGGAAATAGGTTAAACGTTAAACTTTACACTCAAGATTAATTTCCGGAGTATTGTGAATTCTTTGAATTTGCGGAATGTTTTTCTATACAACGATTTTTTGTGGACCCATAATAGAAGAAACTGGCCAAAACGTATAAAATTTTGAAGATAAAAATTAATAAAAAGAATGCCACTAAAATGTCAAAGAGGCTTGTAACATAACAGAGTCGGATGAGCTTAAGTTATTTGAAAAGGCTTTTGTAGTTGGTCAAAAATTTAACAGAAAAACGATTGACAATGGCACTACGCATATTTTTCAAATTTCGAAAAACTGTCGCATTTGTAACTTGAAGCTACAGAATACATACGGATATAATAGTTTTGTTCACATAACGGTTGTACGTTATGTATATAAATGATGAGGAAGACAAGAAAAGTTGAAATCCGGGTGACTGTTTGTGTGTCCGTGCAAGCAGTAACTTTAATAAAAAATTAGATGATATCTTGATGATCCTAGGCAAAACAAAAAAAAAAGATTACGAGTAAATTTACAAAACGCCATTAAAGGAAAACCTATAATGTGCCATAACTGAACAATTGTTTTTTAAGTAATAGGACTGAGGCGATTTAAAAAAAAATATTAAACCAATCGTTACAATTCTTTAAAAACTTTCAAAATAGCCATTTTCTGCGGCCATGCAGCGCTGCCAGCGTGGCATCGCAGTAGGCATTCTCCGGAATAGCCTTGAGAGCCGTGGTGCAAGCTGTGAGGATAAAAATATCTAAATTGTCTAAAATTGTGTACATATAACGAAATTTCGTGTGCGTAGACATTGTGTCCTACGAGTGGTACAAAGCCACAAAAGATGGTCGAGAGATCGTTGAAGACAGGTTTCGTTCTGGACGACCTTCGACTTCTTGAACTGATGAAAATATTAAAAAAGTGAAGGATATAGTGATTGAAAATCGTCAGTTAAGTGTTGGAGATTTTCTTGGGTCCATTCGAATTGGCGGATAAAGGGACTCGTAAATGCATAAGATGTTCGGTTGCGCCCGTACTTAGTTCTCCCTAGCTGTTTTACATGCATATGTACTTGGAATCTTGAAATTGCAAACTATCCGGTGTAGTATCAATTTTTGCTTTACACTGTTTATATAGTGTAGTAATAAAGAAATATAGGAAACAAGTAAGATGTTGTCATAGCTAGTTATCAAAAATTGTTTTAGATTTGATGTGGTATTGCCCAAGAATGATAATACTCTAAGTGCTGCTATAAAATTGTTAATCTAAGTAATGATAACAGACCCTCGTGTCATTTTATTTCTTAAATTTATTGAGTCACATTTTTTAAATGTTTTACGCTGTATATATACGTAAATAACAGCAATAGGTAATTAATTGCGCGTGTATATGCTGTATGAGCACTCTAAATAAGAACATTCTAAAGGGTGGGGGTATCTCTTGGTAAGGTTTTAAGGTAGAAAAATACTTTTTTGCGAATTTATTTCCGTAATATAGATTGAATTAGTTTATTTGGACAATTTGTATATTATTGAACATATTTTTGACAATCTAGGGTAATTTTTTCATAAAATAGGGTAATTTTTTCATAAAATATTGAAGCATACGTCCAGATCGACTTGAGAAAAAGTATTTTGCATGTTCACCATAACTCGGCTGGAAATTATCCGAAAAAAAACCCAAGAAAAATCGTTCTCTGATAATTTCCTTTCATTAAAAAGTTTTTGGCGGCCATTTAAAGTGAAACAGCTATTTTCCATTAAAGAATTCAGACATTTTGTGGGTAAAAACCACCATTAATTTAAAAAACCAAAATTTAGTGAACGATGGGGCGAGGTATTTTATATGTCAAAAATGGGTACAAAGTTTGAAATGAATCGGTAAGTCGTTCTGAAATTCCAGTGAACTTCTTCTTCTTCATTGGCGTAGAAACCGCTTACGCGGTTATAGCCGAGATAACAACAGCGCTGTGTTTTAATTCGCTGAACTATGCCAATGGCATCGTATATCTCATACAGCTGATCGTTCCATCGAATACGATATTCGCCATGGCCAACGCTCAACTTTTTCCTCGAAAACTCGCAACGTCGACTCATCATATGTTGTCATCGTCCATGCCTCTGCACCGTATAGCAGGACGGCAATAATGAGTATAGAGTTTTGTATTTGTTCGTCAAAAGAGGACTTTACTTATCAATTGCCTACATAGTCAGAAGTAGCACTTATTAGCAAGAGATATTCTGCGTTGGATTCAGCTTGTTGACGGTGGGCTATTAATCATTCACAAAAGACGCTCGATAAAACCTTATATGCGATGTTTAGGAAACTGATTCCACAGTGGTTGGCGCAGATTGTGGGGTCTTCCTTTTTGTGGATTGGGCTTAAATTCTTAAGGTTAAGGTCTTAAATTCCAATCGTTGAGCATGCTTGCGTCCGACGATATTTTACAAAGAAGCTGATTCATGCTCCTTATCAGTTCTTCGCTGCCGTGCTTGAATAGCTCGGTCGGGAATCCATCTACCAACGCCGCTTTGTTGTTCTTTAGACGGGTAATTGTTATTCGAACTTGTTCATGGTCCGGCAATGGAACGTCTGCTCCATCGCCACCAATTGTTTAATCGGGTTTTCTTCTCCTGGGGTTATGATCTTACTGCCATTTAGCAGGCTGGAGAAGTATTTCCTCCATAATTTTAGTATGCTCTGGGCATGGATTACTGGATCACATTTGGCGGTTCTACAAGAGTATGCTCCGGTCTTGAAACCTTCTGTTAGTTTGCAGAAAGGAGTTCAACGCGAAAGAGGTGCGACCAGGGTTATTTTTTTGAATCGGGGCCGAAGACCGCCAATGTAGAAAAGAATTCTATGTGAAAAACTAATGTGTTATTTATTTCCAGTCATTGGGATATTATTTGTCTTCTTTATTTCTTTTGGTTCTTCTGATGAAATATGAAATAACGTAACACTGATTAGTAGTTAGAAAGCAACCCTTTTGCTATTGTGTGAACAAAAATAACTGAACCAAAGTTAAATATTGAATAAAAGTTAATTTTGCATTATATAATATAAAATAAATGGTTAGAAACGAATTACATAGTGAAAAGCTAGTGGATATAAAAGTTTAAAATATAAGTGTAAAACTCATTTCAAATCGGAGTTTTACGCGCGTTTTAAATAGTTGAATTTTTGAAGATTAAATGCAAATATCTCAAAACCATAAGTCAGCTTCATATATATGTACTATATATAGTTACATATATATATTATATATTTTTTTCTTGATTTAGAGGACTTCCTCTGTCCGTACACAACCCGAAATCGGGGGATGCACTTCTAAAATTTACCCGAATACTATGTTTGGGTGGAATAGAATTTTAAACACATTCGTTATCTCTAGTTTCGAGATGTTTGTCAAAGTTTTATTATTGGATCTCAGTGTTTCAACTTTTTAGGACAATTTATTTAGTTTCATATAATTATCTGACATTATTGGCTAGAAAGTTAATGTATACATTTTTTAGTATTAAATAAAACATAATTATATTTTTATCAAATATTGAAACCCTTTAATAATTGAATAGCAGAATAATATCTTTTGCGTTAGACGCCGGTTCGAATCCTCAATTATCAATTAGTTTTCATACCTAAACATGTATATAGTATATTTCTAACGCTAATAGTTTCAAACACTACTTATAGATTCCGTGCTAATTACGTACTACGTAATTTATTGGTTTTTACTGTATGAACACAATTCGATTGATGTATTTAAGTTTAGTTTACAGATTTTGCAAACTAGTGTCGATTAAAGATTAAAATATGAAGCTTTAGATAAGGTTAAATAAGTCGATCTTATCGGATTTCTGATTAATTTTTGTAATTCATTTATTTGAAAAGGCAATAAATTAAATGCTTTTATTATTTTATAGACCAATAAGCAAATTTTCATTTAGTTTATTATCGGACTGACGTTGGTGATGATCACTGCGTTTTAACGAGTTGGTCATTGTTTTTCGAGTATAGTACAGAAAAGTCACGTGTTTCTAACGATAATACTGTAGGCGATTGTGTTCACATGACTACAAATATATTTACATATATTATGTATATTGGTGAAAAAGATGCAATATTTTAACTCTTTACAACTCTTCTGCAGGTACATTTCATAATTTAATTCGATTCCTCTTAGAACATTGCTATTAATATGCAACACCACACCCAATAAAAAAATTGGACGTCATCTACATGAGGTTGAAGGCAAATAAATATCAATCGGTCCGTCTGTCCGTGTAAGCGACATTTTTGCAACAAATTAAAACACCTTGCTATATTAATTTACACCAATTCCTTGGCACTCTGAAGAGCTTTGCAAAGCAGATGAGGAATGTGATGTTAAGCGCAGAACTAGGAAAAGGTGCTTTACAATTGAAATTTGTACGGATTTAATGCACATAACCCAAAAACTGTTAAATCTGTATCAACCAAAAGAGAAAGGCTAAAAATGAAAAAAACTCAAAACTATAAAAAAGTGCTAAAGAAACACGTCAGAAAAAAAAAAAGTTTACATAATGGGGGTGACACTTTACAACATCTAAATCGAATACCACTGAAGATATTGGAATGAAGCTTCAAAAAGAAAAATGGCGAAAATATTTGTGAAACAAAGATAAGTTAACAGGTGCAAAATCCTCCACCTTTGAATCTTACAAATTGCAAGAGGTAAATATGTTCGGTTACAACCATACGTGGAACTACTTTTCATGTTCTCTGACGGAAGGGAAAACTAATTTGAAAAACATTTTCCATGCCGGGATATTTTAAGGTTGTTATTATACAATTTGGAGGTTTCCACTAATTTACGCAAAATGATTACTTTCGATTCACATTACAATTCTATCCTGGCTGCCCACAACCCAAATCTAAAACAATAACCTCTTATTTATGTATATATGAAAGTAAAACTGTTTAGGTTCTTGGTGAAGCAAATGTTGGATCATCTTTACATTTTACAAAACCTTTCGAGGGCAACAACATAGGCTTAAAATAACGGTTGTGTTCGAAACTTTGCATTGGTAATTTTTAATTGACGAACCCTTTTGTATACAGTGGAAACTTCTTTCTACCGCTGTATATTATATTGGGTAGCTTTAATTTGTATACACACTTTTGTACACCTCCAACCACCATGATGAGACAATAACGCGTTCGTATGGTTTATACATACATACATATGTATATATGTAGTATAGCCGAAATATTTTTTAGATACGAATTTTGAGACATTTCCTATTTCAATTGTTACAGATAATACGAGAATACAATAGACAATATGTCTTATATATGCACATGTATGTACTATATATAGTACATATATCCTTCAGATGTAAATGTCATTTCACATGGCAGTTTTTGACAAAAGGAATGCTATTTCAAAAATTTCCAATTGTCACATTATTTTGATAGATAGAGGGCCCACTACCATTTATTAAAAAAGTGACAGTTTATTAAATTTTTTCTCGTTTTTATTTTTCTCTAAATTACTGTAAACTGTATTTAAAGTTAATTGCCAATTACCGATTATGATCCTTTAGAATTTTTGAACACAGGGTTTCCTCTAATTTATCAAAATACAACCGGTCGGATTGCAGATAATCACAAACTGAAAGTAGGTATCGCAGCGTGAAACATGTCGCAGCTGAAGTGATGTAGAACAAGTTTACATTACATATGTACAATATGTACTTACATATATACGAAGGCAGTATAAATTTAAGTACTCGCACATTTGTGCATACATATGAATATATGTACAGAGATACAATACAGTTAATAGCTCTTACTTCATAATGAAATTAACGAAGTTGACAGGTTTCAAGAGAGCAAATGACGATCGGAAATTAGTACTAACTGACTATTTACTTCTCACCAGCAATTCACGTTTTTTGGGAGTGTGCGATTTGCGTGTGATCTTGAGATATTATTTGTGAACACTTGTATAAAAACATAAAAATACTCGTCAAGTGATAAAGACATTTGTTAAGTATTTTTAACTAGACTACAGCAGCTGGAAAGTAATTAATTTTCGAATATGTGTTCTTCTATTTTTTAAATCAATATCATTACAAAAGTTATTTACCTATATTTTGCTACGCTGTTTGTAATAAGTTATTTACTTTTAAGCCAACGGAACCACATTAGTTAAAGTAATCCCAAGTTCCTTTCAAACGGTATCTTGATGGCATAGTGAAGTTGTAATTTTCGAACTGAAGAACAAAGAAAAAATTACAACATTTTTTTTTGAAAACAAACTCGACGTCGAACGTTCCTTGTGTTTGTTAATGTGCGTTTGCAGAGGCGGTACGTTTAAAACACTGCAGACACACCATTTTCGGTCTTTTCGATACGGAGGCAGCCAGGTAGCTCGATAAATTTTCCAATGTTATAATCTAGTAATACAGACAACCCGGCGAAGTCGATCAGCGTCAACCCATTTGCAGGTGTTTTATCATGGAGACTGAATTTACCGACCGTTGTACCAAAGTAGCCAAGCACGATTTTGACATCGTGGTGGGGCAGTTCTCATAGGGGAGCTGCAAGCGCTAATAGAAGGCATCTTTAGTCACATCGTGCTTCTCTTCCGTCGGGCTAGACGCTCATCCACCGGAGTGAACTCATCGGCGGAGTCTTTCTTCCACCACGAATCCCCCACTGAATTTGCTTTATATGGCCACTGTAGCAAATGCCACAAGGACCTACTCGTCTTAGTCCTTACCTCGTAAATCACACTTCCTGGACGGCTGTCAGCCTTTACTCTTACGAGGACATTAACCAGCTAGGTAGCGCCACCTTCCTAATTAAAGTACCGAACATTCCAGGTCCATGCCCTTAAATCATAATCCTTAATAAATTTGTAGTGGTCGTCATAAAAAGGATGTCTCTCATCCGAGACTGTTTCGTTATTTTCATAAGGAGTGTTTTTTTTACGTGATGGGTCCTAACCCTGGGGAGGGATGTTTCGCTTTCTTATTTTATCTCGCCTTTAAATAGATGTTTTTTTGGCTATCCAGAGGATATTTGGTCTAAGACCGGAAGTCGTGGGCTGTATCTGACCATTACCAAGTGAGTTGCTTTCAGAGAATTTTCCTCACTTGCGTTAGAAGTTCACGCAAGTGAGGAAAATCTGGGTCCATCCTCTATGTACACCTACAGCAAAGATTGTTAGTCATATGATTGTTGATATTTTATGTAGGCTTACATTGATTTTATCAAAATTAATTAACCTTACCTTGAAGTGAATGGGAGGATTTCAGACAGTCTGTGGGAACAAAAAAAATACTCGATCGAAGCCAAGCTGCATAAATTTAACACTAACGTTCCATGTACCTTGATTTTCCATTATCCCGTTAGTAAACGAAATGTAGAAAATATACTGAAAAAGCAAATTGATTTGTTTAAACTCAACAAAGATTTTGTCATTCCTTACTGAGAATTTATTCATTCTAATTTTTATTTGGTATTTTCCTTGCTTATATAGAAATTTTAAAACTATCTTAAATAACTAAATATATGTATGTGTATGTGTGTATGTGTGTATGTTTGTATGTATTGCAGCATATTGTTTATTGCTGCTTGACATGCGGTTGTTCTCAAGTGTACAATTTAATACATGTGTGTGTGTGTGTTTAATGTTATCTCATCTGTAAATTTATGACTTGTGTCCCCATGCCTTTTTATTATTATTAGATGTGCATTGCATGTAAATGCATTATGTATATATTTATGTATGTATGYATATTAATATATAAATAGATATTTATATTTAGTAGAATTTCGGCTTTGCTGGTAAGTAAGCATGTTCAATGATATTTGAACATATTGCCGAGGGAAAGAAATATTTTTTTAAAATTAGTGGACTGTATATGTGTTGTATCAGTGATAGCTTGTTCGTAGCCATTTGTTGATATTCGAGTCCTGCCCGCTTTTCTTCTTTTACATCGGACGACGGTATATCTTTAAGTTTACGCTTCTTTCTGTGTATTCGGTGACTGTTGTACTTGTTTTGTCAGTAGACATACCATCCTTTTCTTCGTCTTGGCTCGTCAACGACTTTAATTTTCACGTCTGTTTTTAGCTCTTCGTCAAGTAGATCAGAGTCCAGTGTTGAATTATCATTATTTTCATCATGTGTTTTTAACTTCAATGCAATGGACACGGTCGGATATTTGTTGTCAATTTGTGTATTGATGCCTTTAAAAGAGCTTATTACATCTTTCTTTTAGGTAATATTACGCTTGCTCTGTTTCGGCAACTGTGTTGGTTTGTGCAAAACTTAAATTTGCTCATATTGCTTCTCATACGCCTCAGCATCATCTTCCAAAATCTGGTCGATTTCTTTAGCTTCGTCCTCATCTTCCATCGATTTATCCTACACTTTCCCACATTTCTTCAAAATGTGAGTCTGCCGGAAGAGATAAGTACCAAGATACCAATTCAGTTGGTATTTTCTCAGTTATTGAAGGTTCATGTAATTCTTCAACGAATTCTTCTTCAATTTCTTTTTCCTTTTTATCTTCCTCTATTATTTCTGTTGTTTTTTTCCTGAACAGAAGATAGAAGGAGTAATCGAACTGTTATTAGTTTTTCGTCTTCAATCTTTTGCACTGCATTAGTTAGTTTCGTCGCAGTTGTAGATAATTTGGGTAGGATGAACAGAATTCGCTGATTGTCATACTTTTTCTTAAGTAGACTCCATGCAGCGTCGTAATTTTTTGTTGAAATTTGTAGATGCTGTATTACTTATGCAGCATTTTTTCTGTGTTCGGCATCTGCTCGTTGTCATGTACCGTTACTTGAAGCATGTCGTAAAAATTGGCCCATTCCTTAATTTCGCCATAAAATGTTGGAATTTTTATTATTTTTCTTAATTCAAAGTTAGGGCGATAAGAAATTTTAGGCTCTTCTTTTTGTAACTTTTTTTTAAATGTTTAAGCTCTTCGTAGTATTCGTCATTAATTTTTTCGAATAAGAGTTCAATTTTTTCATAAAAATCTAATTTGTCTTTTAGTTTTTAAACATCTACAAATAAAAAGTCTAAACACTTTAAATGATCGTTGTTGATCATTAATTCCATATTTAGATCTTCCATTTTTTTCGGAGGTTTTCAATTTTCCTTATGAATATGGAAGTTTTTCGATCTAAATCTTGGTGTTTAGATTCAACTTCTTCAATTTTTGTTTTACTTTATGGCTTTGTTGGAATAGTGTTGGACGTGTACAATACCTTTTCAGAAAAATCCGCTTGGGTTTCAGGAATTTTCTTCCTGTTTAATCCCATTTTGAGAGTTTTTCCGCATCACTTTTCCTATTTATTAATTAGTTGCTCGTTGTTCTCCAAAGAAATCGTTGGAGGTATATTGATTTGGTCGCCTAGTGGACCTTGCTGTGCCTCGACTCACAGCCGCCAAATATCTCTTCGATAATAATAATTATTTTTTTTTTAATTTTCCTGTATTTTGAACAGGGCTTTTTTGTATATTGCCTGTTTTGTAAATACAGGAGTTTTTAATTTTGGTCGAACACTATATCCGGCTCGAAGGACCAAATATGTTTGATACTCAATGAAGATTTATCATTCTTTACTGCTTGTGGGGAGAAATGAAAAGACCTTCACTGAGCTGAGAATTATGTTATTCTGATTTTTATTTGGTACGTTCCTTGCTTATATAAGTTAACTTATTTTAAGTTTTATTTTTAGTTTTTATTTAAACATTTTCTTACAACTGTACAAAAATGCTTGTTTAACTTTAATTTCTAAGTTGTTGGAGCGATGTCCAACCAACTTAAAGAACAGCCGAATTAAAAGTGAAACTAAAATCTAAGCTTATGCTATCACCAACTTAATATTCTAAGCGAGGGCAGAGCGAGACGTCGGCAGCGACGCATATTGTTAGTGGCGTGCTAGTAGCGTCATTAAAGTCCGTAATATTAGTTTGGCTCTCTTTTTGTAACGGTTGTTTGTAAGTCCTAAATCTAAAAGAGTCAGATATAGAGTTCTATATACCAAAGTGATCAGGGTGACGAGTAGAGTTGAAATCCGGATGTCTGTCTGTCCGTGCAAGCTGTAACTTGAGTAAGAATTGAGATATCATGATGAAACTTGGTACACGTATTTCTCGGCTCCATAAGAAGGTTAAGTTCGAAGATGGGCAAAATCGGCCCACTGCCACACCCACAAAATGGCGGAAACCGAAAACCTATAAAGTGTCATAACTAAGCCATAAATAAAGATATTACAATGAAATTTGGCACAAAGGATCGCATTAGGGAGGGGCATATTTGGACGTAATTCTTTTGGAAAAGTGGGCTTGGCCCCGCCCTCTACTAACTTTTTGTACATATCTCGAAAACTACTAAAGCTATGTCAACCAAACTGTATAGAGTCGTTTCTTTTAGGCATTTCATATACAGTTCAAAAATGGAAGAAATCGGGTAATAACCACGCCCACCTTCCTTACAAAGGTTATGTTGAGAATCACTAAAAAGACTAATAAAAAACGTCAGAAACACTAAATTTTATGGAAGAAATGTCAGAAGGAAGCTGCATCCAGGCGTTTTTTTTAAATTGAAAATGGGCGTGGCGTCGCCCACTTATGGACCAAAAACCATATCTCAGGAAGTACTCCACCGATTTCAATGAAGTTCGGTATATAATATTTTCTTAACACCCT